GGGGTCTCACCTCTAGATGAAGAACTACAGGCAACCAATAGATGCTGGGGGGTGGGGGGGAATCAGTTTTCTCCAGGGACTAGCTCCTGAAAAATTATTTAATCTCAAGTAGGCAGCTCTAAACCCAGGTACATATGAACACCAATAAATGGACTCAATGCAATATATATGTATATAAATGTACATATGTATATGTAACAATAATAAAGAGGACAAGAAGTTGAGAGGGAGTGGGGGGACATGGGAGGAGCTGAAGTGGTATTTCAAGGGGTGTAACTAATGCATAGACAATACTCATGTATGAAATTCTCAAAAAAAAAAAAAATCCCACCAGTTTGCAATGAGCAAATGAGGAGTTTCTGATCAAGTTAGAAAGAACCACATATATCTCTTGGCTTAAAATAGTGATTGATCAGTGTTTCATGATATAAGATCACCTGTAAGTGAAAACAATGAGGTTAGCAATAAAGTCTCCTCAGGGGGTTTGGAGAATCTGACTATGTACAGGAAATAGTGTGTAACATTCTCAGGAGCACCTTGACAGGTGAGTCGGGAGGGGATGACATTTTCTAAGACAGCTTTCTCAACTTCTACACTATAGACATTTTGGAGTCTGATCATCTTTTGTTATAGGAACTGCCCCTGTAAGGTATTTTGTAGCATCGACGGTCACTACCTCCTAGATGCTGGTAGCCATACTTCTTACCAGCTAGATAACCAAGTGTCTCCAGATGTTACCAAATGTCTCCCAAATTGAGGACCCTCGTTTAAGAGAAATATGAAAACTAAGGGAAGAATTCACATACTGTTAACAAAATATCAGAGGCTGGGCATGTATGTAACTCATAGGAAATCACTTGTTTAGCCTGCCTGCAGCCCTGAGTTTGATCCCCAGAATCTTGCAGAAGAAAACAAAATGTCACCATGAGTAGCAGGAAAACTACAAAAGGGAATCTGACCCAGATCCACTTTTTAGAGCAGTTAAGTGGAAATGAGGGAAAGGGAGAATTTCTGTGGAACATTTTGCTTAACATAAGGTAGTTTTTTTTTTTTTAAAAAAAGAATACTTTATACAAGTTCTGGTGATATTTATGGTGCCACCTCCCCCCAATTTCTCTCTTTCCATAAAAAAGCCTGAAAGACTACATTACTACACACACACATACACACACACCAAGTAAAGAATAGATCAAAAGAACAGAAGGACTCTTCATCTGCTTCTTCACTAAGGAAGGTTGTATTTTGAAGAGATGTCATGTACTAAATCCACTGAATCTTGATTTCTCTAAAGAACACACAAATGTTTGTAAAGAATAGGTACAGAACAAAAGATTGCCTAACAAATACACTCCAAAGTCTTTCTATTTAACATTTCCAGAACTACAAGCAACACAAGGGTATAAATTATGCTACACAGAACTGGTTCCCTGTCTTTGCAAATTCTACCCTCGAAAAAAAGAAATAGCTGCTTGCCTGCAAATTCTGCATTTTAAGTGCTAATTTTACTGTTCCTTTTTCCCCTCAAGGATCTACATAGCAGAACAGCAACATCTTTTCATTACATTACAGGCCACTATTTGCTTATTTCCATGACTCTTTTATGTTTTAGATCAGTACTGTCCAATAGAAATTATGCAAACCATATTTACATAATTTAAAATATCAAAGTATATTTCATGCAACCCAGTGTATCATTTAGTTAACAATCACTATAAAATTAGGATCTTTACATTTTTTCTCATATTCTTCACATTAGATTTCTTTCTTTCTTTCTTTTTTTTTTTTTTTTAGCACAGCATGTATCAATTTGGATAAGTCACATTTCAAGTACATGGGGCTGGTGGCTGCCATACTGGAGTGCAGTTTCAGACCCTGATGCTTTCCAAAGCTCTATATGTTTTTCCATCATGGGAGGCTGTAGGCAATACAATGGGCTTCATTCTGCCAGACTATGGGTAACATGTCAGGGCATCTGTCCAGTGTTAGTGGTGTTAGGTTTCATTCTATCAACTACAGCATTCTGCCGTTCCTTGAATCAAATCACACATATCAAACATTTCTGTCTGAGTTTGATCTCTTTGTCTCTGAAACAGACTGGAGTGGCACTGTCCTTCTGGAGATGGAAATGTCAAGGGTGGAGGGTCAGGACTTGCAGTTCCACGCAGCTACAATAAACTCCAACAGGGACTGTTTAATCATGGTTGCATAATTTTGGGTTGCGATAAGTCACAATGTAGCACAAAATATTGGAATCAGAACTTCTTAGTTTATAAATGCAAAGGCAATCTTTATGAATTCAAAATAAAATAACCCTGCAAACACAACCCTGGTTGTTTCTGTTCAGTCTGACCATGGCTTTCTTTTCAAGATTGTTACTTGCCCTGGCTTTGCCAGACTGACTAGGCCCAGGCTTCTCAGGGATATCTAACCACCTGACTGTTCTGCTCTAGAGCCAAAGGACCTTCCTTTCTTGAAATCCTCCTTCAGTTACCCAGGACTCAAGGGAAAAAACATCTTTTCAGTTGTGCTTGGGAATCCTTGAATGCAGATGGCCGCTTCCCTCTTCCACTCTGAAGTGATGTTCAATTGTCACACCAATATTTTGGTAGTTGACTCTTTGATCTTAGGGAGTTTGAGGTCTAATTGGTTTATTTTCTTGATACCTTTTTGCTGGCTTTTATTCCTTCTTCAAATTATTGTACTGTTCAATATTTGTTTATAAACTACCTCAACTCATTTGGAAATGTGGTGATGGTGGGGTGTATAACTAGGTTATTAGTTTCCTCATAGTCTAATACCAAGGGAGTGCTTCTGATACCCAGATTCTAAGTAAAATTATTCTTTTTAATAAAAGTCAATAGAAGCAATCTAACTACCTCCACATTTAACATAGTGAAATGGGTATTTTACACTGTTTATGTCTCATATAGTGGTAGTAATCTCTATCACAAGACTTCACACAGCAGGCTAGCAAATATCTGAATTATCTAATAAAAATATAAATTTTTTAAGAGCCTCAAAAGTACACAGTTAGCCTGGTCTATTAAACCACTGGATTTGCTACTGTTTCATTTTATTTAATTAATTAATTAATTTATTTTTTGGTCTTTTAGAGACAGGGTCTCCCTGTAACCCCAGCTGTCCTGGAACTCAGTATGTAGACCAGGCTGGCCTTGAACTCACTGAGATCTGCCTGCCTCTGCCTCCCAAGTGCTGGGATTAAAGGCATGCACCACCACACCCCGCCTGTTTTGTTTTATTTTTGAGACAGAGACTCTTATAGCTCCAGCTGCCCTGGCCTTGATTTCAGAGATTTCTCTGCCTTAGCTAAGATTAAAGACATGTGACACCATGCCTAGCTTATTGCTTACTTTTAAGAAACATCTACTTATATTCAAGTGCTTAGGGACACTGTGGAGCCCCTTAGACAGTTTTTCTTTTGAGACAGTGTTTCCTATAGCCCAGGAAACTCATTATGTAGCTAAGGATGACTAGAACTCCTGATCCTCTTGCCTCTACCTCCCAAGTACCAGATTCACAGGTCTACCTACCTCCCCTCCTCCCTAGCCACGATACCCCATTGAAATCAAATTGTGACTGAATTTACCTGAATCAGTACATAGATGGTATAACTATGATACTGGGTGAATGGTTATTACTTTATCAGGAAAATCACTGACTGGAGTTCTTTTTTAACCTTTTTGAGACAGTCTCCCTATAGTCCCAGCTGGCCTGGAATTTACTATATAGACCAGGTTGGCCTTGAACATAGATCCACCTGCCTCTGCCTCTGCCTCTGTGCTGGATTAAAGGCATGCCCACCACCACATCTGACTTGACTGAATTCTTAAAATTTTTATTTTCAATGAAATCCTAGCCATTACTGTAAAAACATATTCCAATCACAACTGATTTTAGTCATAAAGATTTTCTTCATGTCCAAGTCTGTCACTTGGAATAGGTTCTCTGAAAACATTTCATTCAACTTCAAATTAGCCTCACTATGGGGCATTTGAGCACTCATGGCACCAGAAACCAGGAGACTCCTACAGTAGGGTGTGGCTGATTCCACCACTCACCTGAAGAGACACTAGCTCTTTTTACCATGCATGGTATAGAACAAATCTGGGTTGCCAAGGGTTAGGGAAAGGACTTCATAGGGAGAGGGTGCAGCAGGGAATGCATTAAACCAGGCATCACAGGGGCGGCTGCAGGACTGTTTGCTCCTATGGAGAAAATGGCAGAACTGAGTTCAGTACCCAACAGTGGTTCACTCACAACCAACAGCTGCAGTCTCCTTCCAGACTCATCCTTCTGCAAGGAGGAAAAGACATCCTTCAGACTGGTCAGCCAGCAGTGGAGCCATCACTAAGTTCTGAAAACAACCCAAACCCAATTATTTGTCTCTAGAAGCTCATTTTTCTACCTTCCTGGTTAGTCAGTATTGACTAACCATGCTTCAACCTTCCTGGAATGTAAGTCAACCAATATACAAAGGCTGCTAGCTTTAGGATGGGAGCTGGGCATGGCAAGTCATTGCTGTAATACCAACAGTCGGCAGTAGGCTGAGCCTAGAACTAGGTAAGAGTTCCAATTAGATTAAGTCTCAAACATTCAAAAGGAAACAGAAAGTCACTGTTCTGTTATGTCACATAGATTCTTAGGTGGGAAAATTGCCACCCCACAGCTGAGATTCCAAATACAGCTGGGTACAAAAACAGAGACCATCCAAAAAGTAAACTTTGCCATCTCTAATGAGTTTTCCAATACCTACTTTTTATTTCTAAGGTAACTGTTATATGTATATGTCACATAAGTGACCTAAAAACAATTTTGGTGCATTTTTTTCTGAATAAAATCATGTAAATACTGTTCCCAAACCACCTTCCCATAGATTTCTCTGTAAATGCCAATAAGATGTACGAAAGTCAAGTATGGTAGTGAAGGATGGTGAATTCAAGACCAGCCAGATTAACACCAAACAAAAAACTCCAAGTCAGAAAGTGTTTGGTCAAGTTTATTGAAGTATGAGTTTACATGCGGTAAAACTGGGGGTTAGGTGGGAGATTTACAAATGGAGTCATGCAGCCACCACCATAATCAAGAGATCAGTCCTCAGGTCCCTCATGCCCCTATGCCATCAATGATCAATGATCTTTCTGTCAAAAGGAGCAAATCTAATCACTAAATGATATATTGTAGGAAAATGTGGATGAATGCAAAATAGCCCAAAACCAAGCTCTAAAAATGAAATTTCTACAAGTTAGTTTTCTTAGTATACCAACAAAATGAAGGCAGCTTCAAATTTTACCATAGAAGTGCAGATATTGTACTTGGTTGAGATAAATCACCATGGCATACATACGCCTCAATGGTCATAAAATATATGATCCAAAGAATGAAATTTTACATGATTTTTTGCAAAAATTAATTATAAAAACTGATCTTGAACTAGATCTTGGTCACCTTTGTAGAGCATGAGACAAGGTTAAAGATAATCTTTGGCGTTATTGTGGCAATTTCAGGCTAGAGCTGGCTCACAGAAAATGTCTTGAAATATTGGAGCTGCATTTTATAAATAATGGAGCTGAATTCTATAGAACTTAAGGGCCAACTCAGTCACAGGGCAAAGGCACAAAATTCCCATACATGTTCTATATATGCAATTGGGACTGCCTCAAAACCTACCCTTGCCCTACCATGAAAATAAGGAAATCCAAAATTTTGATTCTATACACAATTACATACACCTTTTCTTCTTGAAAGCTGCATCAACACTTCCAGATCTGTAGAAGAAATACCACAGTAGGTATTTATATCAGCAACTGTTCCATAACAAAGTGATGTCTAGACTATGTTAACAAAAACTGTCCTTTTAAGAGACCCTCCCCCAAGGCACTATGCATAGTTTAGCAATAATGTTTTAACATAAAATTTTTTAAAACTCAAAAACCTTATTTTTTTGACTTAAGTTTTAACTCATTAGTGCCCCCCTCCCGGTTTATTATTTTAAAGGTAGTCAGGCCTGGTAGTTTTTTTAACCTGCTAAGCCATTTCACTGCCTCCACCCACCCCCCCCAATTTTAAAAGGGGTGCAACTTCACTGAGTAAATTGCCATTACTTTGGCCTCAGGTAAATCCTTTAACCCATCACAGCAGAGGCATCAGGTTAGATTTCTCATCCTTGGCCAAGAATTGCTCCTGGAATTATGCCTGTGCAAGTCATATTCTTTCCCTTCGTTCATACCTTATGTTCATCAGCATCTGATACAACTGCACCTGATTAAATAAAGTCAACAATGTTAGGAATACCAGGCTGTAGCTTTGTTGTTTTAAAAGTGCCTTTTCTTGTGGTTGCTAGCTACATTTGATGACAAAAGTTGTGCCTCCTGTGACCTTCAAGTTTCTGGTACTTGGGATTCTTTCGTAACTTTCAGTTACGAGTTATGAGGAAAATGACGCCAACTCAGTTTCTTGTTTTGTGGGAATTCATTTTGTCGTGTCCCCCTCCCCCCTTTCCATCTTTGCAGCTGAACACTACCACTAGCATAGAATAGTAGCAAGTTTTTAGAAACTAAATTACTGGCTAAAATAGTTTCCTGGGGAAGGATGAAACACTACTTTTTACTGGTTTAAAGGCCCTTCTAGTCCTAGAACTTCTCAGGTCCACAGTCCCTAGACAGTGACTCTTGTCATCTGCTCTGGGTCAAACTTCCTGGTATGTAACGCCCACGTACAAGTCCAAGAGCTTAGGGAACGCCGCACCCCCGACACAAAACCGAGGCAGGCCCCATTCCCTGAAGTGTCCGAAACAGGGTGGGCTCAACATAACACGAGGGGGACAAAACCGGGGCACAAGGAGGGATGACTTTCGCAAGACAACGTCTAACCTTTAAAAAACCCAGCCGCTGGTTGATCAGAGTGTATTTGAAGGGCACTCGTGGAAGGGAAGCGGCTGTGTAGGCGAAATTACCTCAGCACGGTGCTAACCCCGGAATTATCTTGCTGCGCTGGGAAACTTGGAGCGCTTTAGATGTCTAATCCCATTTGCTTCCTAGGCTACGTCCCTGTCCCCAGAACTACTGGGCAGGCGGGAGACTGGGTGTTACAAGAGCCGGGCGCCCTCCCAGCTGTCTCCACCTCGGAGGGGACCGAGTAGGGATCCCGCGCCCCGGACTAGGTCGCCGTAGGGGCGCACAGCGGGCAGGGACCTGCATCCTGGCGGGAGCCGTGGACACCCCGAAGCCACGTGGCGGGCTCGCGTGATTCCCCGGGCCCGGACATACTTACCCAGGAGCGCGCTGCAGCGGAAAGGGCAGGGCGCCGGCTAGACCAAGTTTAAAATCAGCCAGGGCAGTTGGCACCCGGCCACAGCCAACCAAAAAGTTGCTCCGGGGCCCCTCCCCACCCGGCGCCGCCCCGCACAGTCTGCCCGGGCCTCGCGCGCTCCCTGGCGGCCGCAGCGCTCCCTGTCGGCCCCAGACGGGGCATCTGCCCCACTCACCTCTGGAGATTAGAGGAAGCTTCTGGAGCCCCAGTAGTAATGCTGGGGATCCTCAGCCTCCTCTCTCCCCTTCTCGGGCTTCCTAAAGTCTTGTATTGGATTTCCACACCCTTTTGTGCTTATTATCATTTTAAAACTCACGCCTAATTATGTAACAGAATTTGTTCTGTGACTTCAAAGAGAGGAGGGTGGGATGTCTTTGAAGAGGGGCAAATAGAAGGGGGCGGCCCCATGCCTGGAAATTCCACTAAAGGCCGAGTACTTCCGTGGTGTCAAAAATCTGTAAACATCTTTCCCTTAGTGCGCTTCTGTGACCTTGGAATGGAGAAGCTTCTTGCAGAAATTTCAACAGCAACAAGCAACACTTGGGCCAGAACTTGGGAGACAGGGATTGGACTGTCGGTCCTCTCTCCAAACACATGTTGAAGGCTAATTTCCAGGACCGTTGACTGTGATCTCATTGGGAAATAGTCTGCTTTGTAATGAAGTTATGATGACGTCATTGGGACCCTCTTAATGGAACACTACTCAATCCTTATACTATAGGAAGCTGCATGTGAAAACAGAAACACACGGAGAACATGTGAGAACTGAGTGGAGAGGGATGCAAGTACGGGCCCAGGAACGCCAAGGATCGTGGCCATCGCCAGAGGCTAGGAAGATGCAGGAAGGATTCCTTCTAACCAGAGGTTTCAGAGGTAGCCTGGTTCCTGACACCTTGATTTTGGACTTCTGGCTGCCAGAACTAAGGACCTCCATTTCTGACGTAAGTTACCAAATGCTTTGTTAAGGCATCCCAGGAATCCAACACAATGACTGCTGGGAAGGGATAAGACTGGCATCTCCTAGAAGCCATGTATCCCTTGCTTATTGCTGTTTACTGCCTAGGGCACTTGCTGTTAAACTCAGTAGGTAACTGCAGAGTTAATTAGTGTCTCAGTCTTGCAGTGAAGTAGGTAGTGGGGGACATGCTGGTGACAGTGGTACTCATGAATGCCTGACCTGTGTTTAGGGACTCTTTCATTAGATATTTATAGACTTGCAAGGCATGAAGCTGCATGTTCATGTCCCCATCACCCAGAAGGTTTACTTTCTATTCCAAAGAAGGAATTCTCTGGTAGGAGAATTAGATAGATGGGTTGGGAGTGGGAGACATGAGGCCAGGTAGCCTCATGCCTTCCTCTAGGGTGGTCCTTAAGCCTTAGAAGCACAGCTGGACTACAGCTGTGGACTTGTCTTACTTTTACAAATATTTGCTTTTGCCCATAATTTCCTCTGGAATATTGAAATCTGAGGTCTTAGGAAGTGCATCCATCCCTCAGAGCATTTTGGCTAGGAGGCCTGAGTTCCTGTTCTGTGGCAAGCATTGTGATTGGAACATATGTTAAAATTTACATGCAGATAGAACCTCCAACAGAATGCCAAGGGCACTGGACAAACTGTTAGCCCAAACTGATCAGGATGTAGGAAAGGCTTCCAGAAAGAGGTACTACACTACACCTAGCATTACAAGCAGAAAGCTGATCCACCTTAGAAAGCAAAGAATCAATGTGACTAAGAGAGTTAAAGAGAAACCACAGGGTAGTAGAATAGAATCATCCAAGATTTTCTTTGGTGAAGTAGAGCTGGCCTTAGGGCACTGTCCAAAAGCTTAGTTGTCATAAGGGTAAAATGTGAGCTCCCCAGGACTGTTTCAGCATAGAGCCTGGAATATATTTGGTTTATAAAGGGAAATGATGCTATGTGCCAGTGCATGCCTGTAACCCCAGCACTCGGAAGGAAAGGTAGGATGGTTGCAAGATCAAGACCAGCTTGGGTACATGGTGAGGCCTTGCTTACCCCACAGAAGGGGGAAATGGTGACAAGGAATTCTACTTTGTCATTTATATACCAAAGTAGTTGAGTTTTCATATCCTAGATTCCAGCAGTGTGGGGTTTTGTTTTTGTATTTATTTTGCAATGCAAAGGCTCGAACCAGAGTTTTGCTCATGTTAGACAAGCTCTCAACCCTCAGCCCTCAAATATCCTTTCTTGCTATTGGCTGGTGTGACTTTCACATGCACAACAAACCACTTGCACAGCAGGAGTCCCAGGGCATTGGCAATGTTGAGCACTGCATTGCTGTCACGGGGAGTCTCTGTCCCCAGTTCCACACTCTGCCAGATCATGTTCTGGGCTTTTGCCCACCCTTCCTCATGCCTTTCCAGAGGAAGGGAAACTGAGGCAGTCCACTGCCCTCTGTGCTCTACCTGCCCTGTTCTCTATGGGAACCTGCTAAAGGTCCTCTTTGATGTGGCAAGGGGAGGAAACCATTGAATTAACTTGGTTTGCTATGCAGTCAATTAAGGTACATTACAGTACCTTAAGCCATCCTACTTTTTTTGGTAGTTCAAACTGGATAGAAACTGGTGTTCCCCATTAACCATGCAATGCCATGATCCTGAACTTTGCTCAGTGCAAATTTTCAGCCATCTCTGTGCTATGGCAGCTGTGCTCCCTAGTTCATCCTTCCTGAAAAAGACCCTCTGTTTGGAGGCTATGTGGACTTGCTCCCTTTCCATTTCACGGCCTGCTGTGAGTGTGGCACTGCTGTTCAGTGCCAGTGTAAGACAGCAGTGACTTGGGTCCAGACCTGGGTGGGGGCTAGGTGCGACAGTCTCAATTCTGTAGGCACAAGCTGAGCGTAATAAGCCTGCTTCTCCTGCCTGAGTTGGGTCTGAATGAGGGAAGGGAAGCAAGTGTGTTATCGTTCACCTGGAATCCCACCATTGCCTTGACCTCTTCTCTCCAGGAGGGTTTACATCTTCCATGTCTTCAATGGACTAGCAGACACAGATGTGGGAATCTGCTTTCATGAATTAATGAGCCCATTCACCATCTCTGTGTCTGTGTTTGTTGCAGTGAGGAAAACAGAAAGCAACAGCAGGCATTGTTTGTGGTTTATGGAGTACCACTCCAGTCGGGAACATTTTAATTGGGGTTATTGGGCAGGTTGCCATGGACAGGTTTCTGCCCAATAGCTTGCCTGTACCAAACAGGTGGAGGCTTATTTGTGGCCAAGAGAATGTCTGCCCTTACTGTAGCAGAGTGGTTTCATCTGCCTAATTAAGCCTGCATGACTGACTTCACAGCAGGAATATGCACAGGTGATTGTCCTGGATGTCTTGGAATATGATGCTTTTATTGTGACCCCAGCAGGGCTACCAAATGGCCTGCTATAAGAAATCCCCTTTGGGGGCTGGAGAGATGGCTCAGCAGTTAAGAGCACTGACTGCTCTTGCAGAGAATCCGGGTTTGATTCCCAGCACCCATATGGCGAGTACAAATCGTCCTTAACTCCAGTTCCAGGGGAATCCAAAGCCCTCTTCTGACCTCCGCGGCATTGCATGACATGAGTGCACTCACATACATACAGGCTATACACTCATACACATAAAATAAAAATAATAAATAAAATATTAAAGAAAAGAAAAGAAATCCCCTTTGGTTTATAACTTACAAAGCTTAGCATTGTTGTTCACGATTCTTTAGGAAATGCATGAATAAAGTATAAAACAGGATGAACTTGTATCTTCAATATATAAATCACCTTTGCTGATAAGAACAATCTAATTTGCTGTAAGAAGCCTTTTGGGTTTTGTTTTTTGGCTTTTTTGTCTTTTTGAGACAGGATCTAACTGGATATGGTGGCTCATGTCTTTAATCCCAGCACTTGGGAAGCAGAGGCAGGTGGATCTCTCTGAGATTGAGGACAGCCTGGTCTACAGAGTGAATTCCAGGCCATCTAGGGCTACAGGGATATCCTGTCTCAAAAAGACCAAAAAGTTTTTAATTATGTGTGTTGGGGAGTGGGGTGTACGTACATGTGTGTAGTGCCTCTGGGGACCAGAAGAGGTCAAATCCCTGGAGCTGGAGTTACAGGTGGTTGTGAGCCACCTGATTTGAGTGCTGGGGACTGAACTTGGGTCTTCTGTAAGAGCAATACCCACCTTTAACCCCTGAGTCATCCCTCCAGCCCTGTTAAAAAAAGTTTTTTTTTTTCAAACATTTTAGCTCCACATCCTGCAACAACTAAGCCCTCTGTTATTTCTCTTGATAGCAACATTCAGTTGCCTGTATTTGTTTGTGATTCCTCTTCTCCTTTCTCTTCTGAACCCGACTCTGGTGGGTAGCCTCTGTGATGGCCTTGCCAAACCACCACCTTCTGCTATTTATACTCTGGGGATGCTAAGTATCATATATCATTAGGGAACTACAAACTAAAACACTGTGATACCACTTATACATTTAAAATGGCTTAAAACCCAGAGCACTGGCAGTTCTGAATTTGAGTGAGGATGTGGAGTAACAGGAAATTTCATTCATTGCTTGTGGGACTACAAAATGGAGTATTTGGAAGACAGTTATATAGTTTCTTACAACACTAAACATGCTTTTATAATAAGATCCAACGCTTGTGTTCCTTGGTATTTACCCAAGGGAGTTGAAAACTTATGTACACACAAAACCTGTGCAGAAATGTTTGTATCAGCTTAATGTGTAATTGCAAAATCTGAGAGCAACCAAGCTGTCCTTCAGAGGTGAGTAGATAAACTGTTTAGACAATGGGAGAGTATTCAACATTAAACAGAAATGAGTTAGGAAGTCACAAAAGGACATGTGGGAACCTCAGAAGTGTATTACTACATGAAGGGAATCAATCTAAAAAGGCTACATGTTATATGATTCAAACCATATAACATCTAGAAAAGGCAAGATGTAATACTGGAGATAGATAAGTGGTTGTCAGGATGGC